CCAAACTGCATCATCATACTGTTTACCGGACCAGCGATAGAATGGCTTGTCGACAACAGGAACATCGACACTTCCCTAGGATTTGGTCGTCGTTGACTTATCGAACCTGAATGGGGAGAACTTTGATTGCATCAGGACATAACCGTCATTTTTCCTTTTTTTTTTGTTCTTTGAAGGGACGGAGGTGATTCAATAGCAATTGGCGCACTTTTATGGATCGATACTCGCCCGAGCCAATTAAGCCTCCCGTTCCTATGTGGTCGGTTAATTGATACTGCTCCTCGTTTGGGAGTATGAAAGCGCTGAGTTGCGATCGGCTGGCCACCGAAGGTCACATACGACACTCACGCCTTCGAAAAGCTACAATTCCGAATAGGGCCCACATAGAGCTTCACATGATCAGATTTGGGTTCTGGAAGTTGTCCATCAAAGATGGGAGATGCAGCAGCTCTGTGGGGCACGATAGAAGGTCGTTGAAGGGGTAACGGGCTTTCTGGGTGAAACTTACCAACAATGCTGTTGATCCCGTCATCGTAGGCGCTCGGCAGTAGACGAATAAAAGGCGAGAATGCCGCACCCTAAAGCTCATCTGGTCACCAGAATTCAATCAAAAACCGAAGGCTAACTAGTCTGCAGGTATAAACGTACCACAATCGGATTTTCGAAGTTGTTACAGGTTCCGTCGATGCTTCGGAATGATTTGTGGAAACATTCGTTGTTACTGCAACTAGCTGGGATCTGTAATTACTGACCAGTTCTTCGGAAGTGCCCATTGAAAGTTATATTTACAGTCAGTCGACTTCAAAAGGCATACCTGCACTTCTGCGCATCCCACTTGTTCTTGTCTGCTTCTCATTTGAAGGACAGAGAATACTTGTCGGGTCTCGACTGAAATCTTCCTTTGGATTGCTCAGTTCTTAAAGATTTGATGGCGAAATACCCACCTTCAACTGGCACAACCTGACTGCATCTCCCTGGCTGAATCCCTTGCTGAATCATGGAAAAGTTTTGTGGACTCAAAGCTAGAGCTGGACGAGGAGCTGAAATTATTTCTAAACTTTTTGCTTCTCGGAGAGTAATGCAGTGATCCATCCTCAAATCATCAAAGTAAACACTTTGAGAGTTGAACGAAAAAAAAA